AGTATAAAAGGCCACTTAAATGCTCTATCAAATGCTTTAAAAAAAAATAATCTTCTGTTGCTCTGTAATGAACTGCATTAAGCCAAGACCATCAGCACAGAGGGAGGTTATAGTTACTAGCAACACCAATGGGAGGCCTCCTGTTCAGAGTTCATCTGGTGATGTTCATCTTCTCCATTACCAAGAATTAATGTCAATGCATGAAATTTTGATCCCTCATAAGTGGGTACTATGATACAGTCTGATCCTCTCTTGAAAATAAAAGTCTCATAAGCATTTATAATTACTTTTGTGTTAGTCAGTGTTATGATGCTACCATTCTCTGTTTTTATCTAATTGCATTATGATACATGGAAGCAATCTTGATTTGTAAACCTTTCAGAGCAAGTTTTGTCTGCCTTTTTCATCAGACCCCATATCACACTTGGATCTCCAGGTTGTATTTATCACTCTGACTCAGTTGAGAAGAATGAGTTCTTCTAATGCTGCCTACTGCAGCATTACAAGGGAAAAATAAAACAGATATTTACAGAAAGAGACTGTGACAGTAAATTGATGTGCAGAAACAACGTGATGCATCATTTACATGTGAACAGTGTATGCCTGGGGCCTGCCTGTTCCCTGGTCTTTTGTCTTCTCTTTTCTGGAACATCAGATACAAGAAAATATCGCAGTGAAGGAATACAAAAAAAGCAATTAAATTTGAACAGCCTGTATCATCTCTGCACTATTGAGTAAACCAAACAAACATTTAATATAAATGATTTGGATATGTACATTCAGAGAATTGGTGACAAGTGAGAGAGAATTCAGATGATCCTGAACTAAACTGCATCTTATTCACAAATATATTGCTTCTTTGAAAAATTCAAAAGAAAACAATTCGTTGTTGGAAATCTGTGGGGGGAAAAAAGTAGAAAAAATACCATCCTGTGTCAGGTAAAAAGTTCAGCCGGAAATACATGAAAGTCCAAGAACTTTTGCCTCCACTTTATTTGACAAAATGTAGTACATGGAATCACTCATCAAGAGAAATTTTAAAAAGATCAGGAGAAACAGCAGCTGGTGAAATTAGGAACTGGATACCAGTAGAAAGTAAAGTGCTGATCTTATCGCCTGGTTTGGAGATTTCAGTACTGGCAATTCCCAGATGATATCTTTTCCAGGCAGTTAACAGCCCTGACACAAAAGTCATCACTTTGATCCTACATGTTGAAGAAAATGTTTGATGCAAAGCAAAAACTGAAAGTCTTTCAGTTTGTCTGTACAAAAAGGATTTCAAGAGAACAAAGATCTTAAAAACATAGTTCTGAGAAAATCAAGTAATGCAGAAGTAGGTCACTTAAAAAAAAATTATTGAATGGTCTTTGGAAAATCAGAGCTAAGCTGTTTTTTTTGTAAATTTGGCAAAACACTGACCTTATATAGAAAACTGCTTTGATCAAAAAGACCCCAACACACCAAAACCTGTGAAAAATAAGTAGCACCCTTGCCCAGAAGACTGTGTCTGCAGGCAACCCACACTGGGGCAGGGGCCCACTGGAGGCCACCAAAGTAGTACTTTTACCACTGCAGCTGGCGCATAGTTGATTTCCATAGTTTTTCCTGATTACCTGAGTCCTTATGGTTAAGTAGCAAGAACTAGTTGAGACTGTTTTTCTCATGACACAATCTAAGTGCCTAATTATTTTATTAATTTGGAGATACAGAAGGGCATGATATAGATTTCTAAGGTTTCTTCCCATTATGCAAAATGAGAGTCAGGTGCCTGTAGCACAGGTAAGCCTACTCATGCTACCTTGACTTTATTAACAATAAAGCCAAAAGATGGGGAGTTCAGCTGTTGAACTCTCCCTCCTTCCCTTTGTTAGTTGAGTAAACTGGCACAAGTCAGTTCAAAGCCAACTCAGCTGCATAGTTCTCCTGCTAAAGCACTTGCAATTACACTCAACTACATTCCAACTTCAAGAGAAACAAACTCATGCAAAGAGATTTGGTTTCATGGAGACTTGGTATCCCTGCAGTGGAAAATGTCCTCCAGGATGGAGCACCTCGTGCTGAGGGGGCATTTATGTAAAAAATCTCTTCAATTTTCCTCTTCCCTTATATAGAGACTCCTTCAAATAAATAGGGAATTGGCTGATGCAATTGTCAAGATACTCTCCATCACATTTGAAAAGTCATGGCAGTCAGGTGTAGTCCCAGGTGATAGGAAAAAGGGAAACATTGCACCTGCCTTTAAAATGGGTGGAAAGGAGGCCCCTGGGAAACAAGGTATCAGCCTCACCTCCATGTCTGGGAACATCAAGGAACTCCTAGAAGTTATGTCAAGGCACATGGGGGACCTGGAGGTGATTTGGGACAGCCTGTTTGGCTTCAACAAGGGAAATCCCGCCTGACCAACCTTGCCTTCTACAATGGAGTGACTACATCAGTGAATTAGAGAAGGGCCTTGGGGTGTCATCTACCTGGACACAGGTAAGACTTTGACATGGTCTCCCACAATATCCTTCTCTCTAAATTTGGCATTTATGTATTTGATGGGTGGACTGCTCAATAGATGAGAAACTGCTTGGACAGCCACACCCAAAGAGCAGTGGTCTAAGGTTCAGTGTCCTGATGGGCATTGCTGACAAATGGTCTCCCTCAGGGGTCGGTTTGGGATCAGGGCTATTTAATGTTTTCACCACAAACACCGACAGTGGGGTTGAGTGCAAATCCACAAGAAACAGCCACTTTTATTAAAGGTTTACAATGCAGATACAGAAGTTGTATAATAATACTTGTACTTACTGCAATGCACTACCAATGAACATTAAAGCCTTATGGAAAAAAATACATTTTTCTTAGTTTTTTGCTAGTGCTCTGCTAATAAAATTTACTTCCTCATATCCTTAAACAATCAAGGCTACATTATTACTGCTAAACATATTTACAGTCAGGTTTCTCAATTGTTGGACTGCAGAAACAGAAAATGTCCTTGAAAATATTTGGCTGTCTGCTGGCAAGTCACAGTATTTTGCCTGTGTGCTTCATGCAAAGTAAAGAAGAAATAATGGCTTCAATGAATTATGTAAATTTTGTGAAAGCTGAACTTCTGTCTACTCACAAAACTATGATCTTAAGTTCACTTAAATATGTTTTTGGTCTATCAGTTAAGACTTTCCAAATATTCGTCCAATATTTTAAAATTATTTGATTGTTGTATGTGAGCATGTCAGGCTGCTCTGAATCCATCAGGTAATAATGTCATAGGATGTTAGTACATTTAAATCTAATGTATTCTATGTTGGTTTTCTTATTTAAATAATATTGCTGTGTGGTGCAAAACAATTTATCAACTTCTTCCAATTGCCTATCTTATGTTGTTTAGAAATTAGATGCAAAACTTCTCAGAATGGTGATGATTCTGGTTTAAGCTTTAATGATGCCTATGAGGTGATACAGCTAAACTAACACAAAAATTAAACATAAATCTATATGACCACACAGTGGAATTTTCAACAGAAAGAGAAAAAAATTAAGGCACTTCTGTTATATCTAGCTTTATATTCTGCTGATATATAGGCTACATATTTAGCTGCAACACAGTGATGAAACCCAAATAATCCTTTAATTTACAACTTGCAAGGATTTGGTCTTCAATCTTTATTATGCAGTCTATGGCAGAAACAATTTCACATTATAACCTCATTGATACACAGACTTTAACAACTGAAAATAAGAAATAAATTTTTGCTGCAAAAAGAAAGAGACAAAAAAAACCCCAACCTCCTCTATATAGTTGTATTTCAGAATACACTTAAATTCATCAAAGTACATTTCCCCCCAGTTAACTACTGATGATTTATTTACAAAGCAAGTAACAAACAACATCTAGAAAATACCATTGCACCACGAGTTATCTACATGGGTATTTCTAATTTTCATACAAGAAAACAGCTAAGAAGGCATTTGCTGCAGCACAATGTTTCTTCCTGAAATCTTAATGTGTTTTAGCAGCTAACACAAAATGCAGATGCAGACTGTATCATGTAAACTAGAAAAGCAAACATACTATGTGTTTGGTTAAGAAAAAATAGATGTCTAGCAAACTGTTTTTTAAATTTTTTTTTTTTAAAAAGTCTGATGCATTAACTGCTCCAAGTACTTCACATAGGTGCTGTCGTTTACTTACAAACTGAAAATGCTGCTGACAGAGCAGCTGAAATTTGAGAAACTACTTGAAAGAGAAGACATCATCAGCCTGTGCAAGCTCTGACAGGCTTATAGCTACATTTTTATTCACAATGAAATTTATGTTAATATATGCTGTTTTGGGGATCATTTGACAATCAGTAACAATGTAGAATACTTTAATTTACTCATCTCTTTTAGAAAAAGTGATAGCTCGTTGTTTTGATTTTAAAATCTTTTTTTAATATATATGAACTAGAAGGAGAAGACGAAGTGTGGATGTGGGGTTTGTTTTTTTTTTATGGGATCACTGAAAAAAATTTTCCTTTGAAACTGCAGAACACGCAACCCTCGCAAGAGAAGTCCTCTTGAACTACAAATGTGTTTTTCTACATGACCTCGTGAGACCTCAGCACGCAAATAACCTGCACAGAAAACACCTCAACAGATAAATTTTAAGAGTAAATAGAGTGTACTCAACAGTATTACAACTTCATATCCCATTATTTTCCATCCTCAAAAGCTCACCTTATTTTTCAAACTATAGTTGTCTAGCCTTTGAATTTTTGTTTCCAACCTGTTTTAACAGCACTGTGACTTACCAAGGGAATGCCAGGTTGCTACAGGCACAGCAGCTTTGTTTTAGACTAATGTATGTGCTCCTGGCAAGCAGGACTGCCGCGAACACGGGAGCCGGGAAGGCCCCGGTACCTCCTGGCTCTGCTCGCTGTTACATCTCATGCTTCTGTTATGTGCAATGCAGATGTGCTGCAGAAGCAATTTTTGACAGATTGGAAAAGCAGGCACTTTCCTCTGTGGTATTTTTTTGAGGGAAAGCATATCCTACATGTTCCCACTAGCACACTGTGGCAGTGGCAACTGCTCTGAGAGCCATGCAGCAGGAGACCCTGTCACGGCAGTGGAGTAGTTTCAGCTTCTTGAAGTTCCAACTGAAAGGAAAGAAATTGCAAATACAATGAACAATTGCTTGATATCTTCCCACCCACAAGTTTGTGCGTGTGTTTTTTTTAGGAGGAACTGATTTCCCATTTGCACTCCTGATGTAGAAAGCTAAGCACATAGCCCAGAGTAAGGCAAGAGTATGCTTTTGCCATGAAGCGACAGAGGAAATGATCACAAAGAAATATTAGTAGGTCTGAAATTTGAATTAGAATTAGAATATGCTTCATATAGAACCAGTTATTCTCTTTCTAGGGTGGAACTCTCTATGAATTTCACAAGCATGGAAAAATTTCACTCCCTTTCTGTATTCTTTCTGCAGAAGTTACAGGGGAATTAGTATTTTAGTTGAATACATTCTGTGCTTATATCAGAACAGTGTCTAACTTTTGGATTTTCAGTTACAGTCTAGTTTAAATTCTGTGTGAGGTGGTCTTACATCAGCCATCAAACACAGCAGCCTCTCAGCCCTGAATGTCCCCAGTCTCCCTGCTGAGTCCTACTTGCATGCAGGCATGGCAGCACTACGGATGTTTTCATCAAGGAAACCTGCTTACTGCATGGCATGTCCTGAAAGACTGCAAACCCTCTTTGCTCAGCAAATTTTCTACCAGAACCCATTGAGAGCTTGGTGGGAGACACTGCAAATCAAGGGTTTACGGAATGGAAAGCAGAGGCACAGATGAAGCCTGGACATTCACAAAGAGCCCATATCAACACATACCAGCTACAAAAGAAAGCCCAGTTTTAAGGATCTATTGAACTTAGACAAGTGTTTCATGGATGTCACTATCTTGCCAGAAATAGGCTTTTAAAGGAACCAGTACTTGAAAATTATTATTGAAATACAGTATAATTCACAAAGGAGATATATTAATTTTCTAAAAATACCCAGGAAGGCCATTCTCTGTTAATACAGGTAGATGGGAACCTGCCAAAGAAGCTGCCCATTTTTTTCATGTTTCTGCAACAGGAACCACCAGCATTCCCTATATTTGTTTACAGTCATATAGCATAAGGAAAATTAAGAAGTAAGAAAACACTTCATTTATTTAATCAAAGTGAAACTAGCTTTCAATTTTTCCTTGTTTTAACTTAAAACATTTTTCTCAAATCCAGTATCCTTTTTATTTCTACATGTGTCTGCCAATCCAGGCAGTAAAGGCAAAGCTTTCAGGGCTGAGCCTTGTGTTACTGAATGCATCTGAGGCCTCATTTTCAGAATATGGGGAGGATTTGCAGTTTCCATTAAGGCATTTAGACATTTCAGTAGTAGACAAGAAAGCATCAGAAGTTAAAACTGAAAAGAAGAGTTACACACAGGATAACTAAATAGTCCTGAAGATGTGCCTATACATAATTTGCTTAGTTGCTTGGATACATTCAGGTGAAGCTGCTATAAAAGCACCTATAAAAATGGGTCACAAAGGAACTAATCCATTGAAACAAATTAAATTTCTCAGATTTCTTTAATTACTAACAATCCAGTTCCCTAATTATTTAAGATTTTTTTGTTGTAACACATAGCTACTAGTAAAAACTTAGTTTTCAGGGGAAAATAACTACCAATTTATCTAACATTTAAAAAAATTAAACCTTCTTTTAATCTCAGAGATAAATTGATGCAGAGACTCTTAAGCATCTGAAGTAAAAGTTATTTCATTATCTTTGTCAAGATTTTGATACAAATCTATTAATGTCAACAACATCAAAAACCCTCAGCCACCTGCAAAAGCTACTATTTGGTCCTTCATTCCCCTCCCCTGCCAATACTTGGTCATAGAGAAAAGTTCAAAGAAAGCAGTTTTGCTTTTCAAGCAATTTTTTTTTCCCCAGGATTACATCACTCCTTCTTGTGCAAATGCACTTACAAGATTGCATAAACCCTCCTGAAAACTATAAGCACTTAATCTAGACTTTTTTGGTAATGCCAAAGAACCACAGAGCAGACCAAAGGTCATTATATTAACTTAGAATAATATGAATATTTAAGATATTTCCTGTTGGTGCTTTTGAACTCATTGAAGACACTGTTGTTTCCATCCAACAACTTAAATACTTAAGAGCGTTAATTCTAAGTGCTTTTAAATGCTTTAAGAGTGTTAGGCCTTATGTGATTGAACCTTGTAGTTCTCATTAACATTAGCAAGAGAAACAAATTTTCACTTGGCATAAAAACAACTTGTAGAACATCTGTTTCTTTGAAAATTATATGAAGTGTGCCAAGTACGACACAGCCTTGAAATTAGAATTCATACCAAATGCCAAGAGCTTGTCCATACAACAAAGAGTTTGTCAGTCTTCAATCAATAGATACACAAGCTAGACTTTCTTTTACAGAAAGCACTTACCTGTGAAAAGAATTTCCTCAGAACGTCTGAGGAAATACTGGTTTGTCTGAGGACTTATTTTCTTTTTTCTTTTCTGAGAGCTAAAGCTGCATTCACTCTAGGGCTTTTTTGTGTTTAAAATAATAATATAAAAACATTAGGTATTATGCTTGTAGTTACTATTCCAGAGAACCCTTTTAGTGTAGATTAGTTCGGCAATCTTGTCTCTCATTCTGATAAAAGCAGACATCAAAAAATGTCTCTTACAGAAATGTTTGCTGGAGAAAAAAGATAAATTAAGTTTAATATTAAGCTTTGAACATGTCTTGCTGTGAATGCATTCTATAGAAATTGTGGAGAGTGAGAATGACTGTACCAAACAGCTGCTGAGCTGAACTCCAGGGAGAAGGCCCAGGTCAGCATTCAGGGAGCACATCTGGCAGAAATAAACCAATGGCAGCATCAGCAGCTGTCAAAGCAAGGACTGCAGGGATGGTGGTGAGCGAAGTGGAGTTGGCCACTTCAGAGTCTTTCAAACACCTGAACATGCAAAGATCTATCCATCCACCTGTGAGGACCTGAGCTACCAAGTGCTGTCTTCTTCTCCCTGGCTCTGGGGAAAATTGATGGTTACTTGCTAGGAAGAACTACCAAAGTAGTCAAATAATTTCTTCCAGCTCTGAATACACCTTTTTTATTCCATGCCGATTGGATCTTTGCTTCAGTTTCCATCCTTACTGCCTCACTTGCACCTCATTCCTTATGTTTTCCTTTCTCCTCAGCATTCTTCCTCTCTCTTTCCCTTCAGTGTCCTTCCCTTTCCTTCTCTTTATTTCATATTACATATGCTTTATTTCTTCTTAACTAATTTATTTCATCACTGTTCCCTGAAGGAAAAAAAAAACTCAAACCCTAACCAGCAAAGAACCCAACTCTAGGACTAGCTTCCTCCTTATTGCCACTCTCAAGATCACTTCGCTTGCTTGCTCCATCCCTGCCCCAGCAGGCTGTCTCTCTTGGTGGTGTAGGCTGAAACATCTCTCTGGGAAACATCACCTTCCATTCTGTGCTTGTTCAGTGCTCAGGGAAACAGATTTTATTCCACTCAGCCTCTAGGCAGTACCACATTAATCTTTTCTATGGGTAGAAGTTTAGGTGGCTACAGATCTAGAAGTAATATAAAGATATATAACTAAATGTAGAAAATGGGTTAATAGACACTGCACTCTAAAAAGCTGGAATTGTACTAGGCAGAAATACAATCTTACTGTCATTGCATGCACAAATTTGATTCAATTGAGGATTACAAATGCATTATTAACAGATGAATGTAGTAATTTGCTACACCTAGTATTTACTACAGATATATAAAAACATACATTCCTATATACATACATACATATGTGCACCTATGCCAAGTTTGGCCGTTCTGCTTCACCACTAGACTGAGCAGGTGCTGATTTCACAGGCCACAGTTTGGCATGTATGAATCAGACACTGGTGAACAATACCAATTGTTGATGCTTGATAAAGCTTCTCGCTTTAGCCCTTCTCCATTTAGACTTCCCTCCTTTCTGGTGCAATTACTTTAGTCTCCTTGGAGATGGGAATATTCTTATTTGGGCTATCTGGCAGCAGCTGAGTGTCAGGCAGGCAGCTGCTTTCACAAGAAGCCACTGAGCTCTGCACCTCAAGGAGGCAGCCAATTTGTGGCTGAAGTGGCAGTGGTGAGAAACTGTTGCATGAGCAACCCACGTATATTGCTGAAAGGTGATATGGCGAGGAATGAACCAGGCTCATGCCTTTTGCTCTTATTTTTGAAGAATTACAGAGACAACTCAAACTTCTTCTAGTGCTTTTAATGTGCTTGAACTAATTCCATGAATGTTAAGATTTGCTTTCATGTTTTACTGAGCTGGAGCCTGGAAATTCTCAAGACTAAGCATGGGACCATGGATACTGAACATGTATGGAAGAGCTTCTTTGCAAAAACTACCCAAAAATAGGCTGAATAAAAAAACCCAAAACTAACTCTTGTTATCTGATGTGCCATAAACTTCCTACTTCTTAAAGGCTTTTTCTATATGGAAAAGGTATTTTGTTTGTATGCCTGAAATGGCAAAATGGCACACCTGCATTTAGCACATGTGTATATATTTTCATATATGTTTATGTATATATATATATATGTATACACACACTCACTTCTAACTCCACCTTATTCACCACATAATTATATGACACAAGAACTGCATGTAGACAAGGTCTATTTCTTGCATGACTTTCAGGACAAACAAGGCCAGGTAGGCCTTCTTTGTACATCAATCAAAAGTGAACAAGCACAGTTTTTTATCTTTTTATTCATTGTAGCAATGAGCCACTCCTGTCTCAGACAAGGAGTATTGTACCAGGAAATCTGTGATTAATTTTCAACCTGCTGCAAACATCCTGCAAATGAAACACTGTTTTTGTGCTTTGTACATGCATGCACGCTGGACCCAGTCACTCAAGGTACCCTTTAGAGCCCTTGGCTTCTGAGCATCAAGCAGGGCAGAGAACAACTAGCACCATGCAGGACTGGGGTCTCTGTGTATGCATACACCAGTTTCAAATATAACCTTGAAAGTGTTCAGACCTTCCAAAAGCTACAGATCAGTGTAAGTGGTAAGTTCGGAACACATGTCATCTCCAAGCGGCTGGCCTGGATCCAGAGATGACATCTCCACTGCTAGTCATACCTGATGGTTAGTCCTGTCCACCGTGTTGGCAGTGGAAGCATGGTCACGAGTGTTTTGTCGGACTCGGGTGGAGTTTTGCTGCTCAATGGTTGAGGAAGTGGGGATGCAGAACTCTCTGAAACACCTTTTGAAATTCTCATCTAGGAATGCATAAAGGACTGGATTAAGGCAGCTATTTGTATACCCTAGAGCAATACAGAAGTGCCAGGAGACAGTCTGGAAAGTAGTTTCTGGGATGTTGACCAGGGCTTTAATGATAACATAAATGTGGATGGGAGTCCAGCAGACAATAAACACTGCCACCACCACAAGAACCATCCTTGTGATTCTCCGCAGGTTCCTATCCTTCTCTTTGGAGCCGGATAACATGCGGACGCTCTTCAGGCGTAAAATCATCAGCCCGTAACACACGGTAATGATCAGGACTGGCATGATGAAGGCAAAGATGAACACACAGATTTTCAGGAGGTTCTCCCAGTACCAAGCAGGGTGGGAGAATGTAAGTGTACAGTCAATTGAGCCTGAGGAAAAGAAAACAGCAGAGAAGAACATGCAGGTCAGTTTTCATTTCCTTTTCTTTAAACCTTTCTTTAATTAAATATAATTTAATTAAATATACAAAGACTTTACACCTAAGTAAACATGTAAAATGAAGCAATCTGTGACCTGTCATTGGCATAAACATTGGTAGGATAGAGTGCTGCAAAACAGGCATGAAGCGTGAGTTAGGAAAACAAAACCAAATTAACATGTTCTCTTTTGCAAATTATGGCTTGGAATTTTATGTATACCAAACAAGGAAGAGATCTGAATTGTCATAAATGCTTAAACTTTGACTCATTTCCACTTTAAGTATAAAACATGGTGAGAAGGAAGATTGTTAAGCCACCATATATGCTGAGAGTTTGGGTATTTCAGGGCAGAGGGGAAGAGAATGACACAACGCTTGGGAACTATGCGCTGTGGAGGGTCTGGATTTATGGTGACATGCTGTCACTGCCCCTTTAGAGCACCAGCGGTCCAGAAAGTGCTCTCTGCCGTGTATCATGTCCTGCTGGACAGGGTGTAACGTATATCTACGACTGCCAGCTTCCCAGTGGGAGTATCCTGGGTAAAGCACAGGCTCCTGTGCTGTAGGGCAATGCAGAATGCCCCACAGCAGAAGGCAGGCAGGCACAGATGCTTTTCCAAACACTAGAGTAACTGAGTGGGACAGCGAGACTTGCATGGACCCACAGAAGCTGCTGGAGCTGCTTGTTGTAAAAGTCAGATCACATGCACTTCTTGTCTAGTCAACTACAGCCAGATGCAAAATTGCTGAAGGGGCTCATTTGCACTGATACTTGCTTTACACAGGTTGGAAGTCAGAAGTTAATTCAATGCCTCTACACCACAGTCAAACAATGCAGAAAGGAGTTTAAATATCGAATACTCAGTTTAGGAATGAAAGCCAGACTTACCATGCCTGTATTTAGTAGTTGCCATGAACATAACTGGCAAGCCAATGGCAGAGGAAAGAATCCAGTTGCAGACATTGACAATTTTGGCATTTCGGGGAGTACGGAAATCAAGGGCCTTAACTGGGTGGCAAACGGCCACGTAGCGATCCACACTCATGGTGCAGAGCGTGAAGATACTGGTGAACATATTGTAGTAGTCTATGGATATAACAATCTTACAAAGGATGGTACCGAATGGCCAGGTTCCCATCAAGTAATTCACACTCTGGAATGGTAGAGTACTTGTTGCTAGGGCATCTGCCAGTGCAAGATTGAAAATATAGATGTTGGTGGCAGTCTTCATTTTCGTGTACCTAGAAAAAAAAAATTGGCAGAGGATGTGAATGACCACAACTGACATTGTTATATAAAACTCAATTCAGTGCATTATCTATAATGTGTTACATACTGCCAAAGATCACATTTTCTGCTTTTAACCAAACGACCATGCTATGATTCACCTACAGGTTGGCAGTTCAGTGAGACATCAGCTAAAGGGTGTAAGGAAGAAAAGGTTAATTTAACTCATGCAGAAGGAAAAGATACATGTAGAAGAAACAGTATTATAGATGCTGAAGAATTGAGAAGCTGAAAAAGTTGTGTATTAATAGATCAGATACTGGTATCTACATGGATAGATTTTCTGTACCTGCTGATGTCATGCCAAATATCTGTCTATCTAATAAATTCATTCTGTAGAAATAAAGAATTTATTTGTAGGTTGTGGAGAAGTAATGTCATTCTAAGTGGGCAACACTTGAGACACACTTTTTCTGTGGATGCTGTACTTCTGCAGTGGTACAAAAAACATTTCCATTTAAGTAATATTCCTGGCCATGCTTCCCTGATTGCTGCTGAGGTTGCTGGGCCCTGTGACTGCTTGGATTTTGGGAGGGCAGATGGCTTGCTCTTTTGATGAAACTTCCTTCCATTTCTGCAAAACTAATAACAAGAGTGTTTGATTGAGTATTTTACAATTTTTAGAATGCTTTTCAAGAGGAATAGCTCATTTCAAAAGACCTGTTGGGGAACCTGCTGGGGAAGACAAAATGATAGATAAAATACACCAAAAAAGATAAAATACACTATATCATGGGTTTTATCTCTCTGAGTTAGATCTCTTCAGAACATGAGTCAGTTGCAAAAAATCCCAATTGTGTAGGGAATGGGCATTTGGAACATATCTTTGGTAGGGTGTGCAGAAATGCAGACTTCATGTTGAATGGACCTAGAAAGCTTTTATGATGAACATTTTAAGTCATTGGTACTGGATCTGTTCTCTCATTTTTAGCACTGTGCATGAGAAGACACTAACAATCCTAATTTCAATGTAAGGTGGTTTTTAAAAACAGATTTTCAAGTAGATCCAAACTCTATCTTGACTGCTGCTGTGAGAAAGTATAATCTGAATATGATGCTTTCAAGTTGGAAATAAACTCCATATTCTGAAAGTTCTGTAAAAACTTTTCTTACTCCATTTATATAACAAGTTTGTAACTAATATAGGAGGAGGTAAATGCTGCAAGCATTTACAACTCTCTCTTCTGGAAATTGGAAAAAATGTACAGAACTGCAGTGTGGGAGAGGTACACAATAAAAGCTACAGGTCTAAAAACTGTTTGGAGGGAGGAGAAAGTATTTCTCAGGCAATTTGCTGAAGAATCTTCCAGCTGAGAATGAAAGCAGCAACATTTATATTTTGCTTTTACTGTTATCCAGTACTAAGCCCTGTGGTTTATCAAAATGAGTGCCTCTCCAAAGGTCTGAGATATCCAGGAGTAGCTGAAGGAGTGTCCAGAGCTAACCTGAAGGTTTGATTGTGCTGTCAGCAGACACATCCAGCTTGCTCCCACCTGATCTGCTCGGGCAGGGACCGTGACAGAGGGGAAGTGGCTCTCAGCTCTGCACAAACAGGCAAAGTTGACGAGGATTCTGTGCCCTCACTCGAGCTGCTGATCCCTGCTCAGACCAAAGATGACTGCCTGCCTGCTTTACAGCTGAACAAGAAAGCACACTTGGGAATGAAAGCTGCTCAGTGCTGGTGCCATCACAGGTGATGCTGGGACAAGTCTGTCTTGCATCTGTATCAGATAATAATGACAAAGCTTTGTTATCAGTAATTAAAGCCATTATGATTTAAAAGGAATGATTGATACAGCAAAAAAGCCCAAACCTTCAACCAATTATGTAAATGACTTTCAGGTTAGCATGACAGAGGATAGACAGAAAAACACTCTGAATAAATAGAACAGAGTAGAATAAAGTTTCTTCACTGGGCATGTGTCTTATTCCACTTAAATGCTACATATTTTTCAGTTTTGCTATCTAATTTTCATTGTCAGTTTAAGTTTAAAAGTTCTTGGACTTACTTTGTTTAATGGCCTTAAAAGACTATCAATGAAGGGTTTTGCTTGATGTACTCTGTAATCTTTGTACTTCTAATCATGCTGTTCTTACAATGAATAGAAGCAGAGTTCTTATGGAGATAGAAAGTATTTACCTCCACAACTGCCTAATCAACAAAAGCCTATTGAAATTTACAGCATTCTTTTCAGTGAATTCTATGGGATTTGGGCGTTTCTCTGTACGGAATATTTGAAGATTTTATAAGGGGCTTATTTCTGCAAGGTACATTTTGTAAAACATATATTTTTCCAAATAAGTAGATTACCAGTGTCACCAGGATTATTTTTTTGGCATGAACAAATAAATACCAAAGCAATTGATTAAATGTAATTTTAACAACATGAGAAGTAACAGTCAATCAAAATGGAGCTTTTCAAAGTCTTGATCTTAGCTGTTATTACACTTTTTACTAAGGTACCAGTCTACCTGTTGGAACAAGCAGAACAAACATTTCCATTATCCAGACTTAGATGTGTATGTGATGAGATTTCTACAGTTGAGAGGGAATTAGTAATAACAACATTTTTAATGCAATACCAAAACTTATAAATGCAATCTTTTAAGACACTGCTTTCACACTTTCATTCAAACTCATTAGAGAATCTAAAAATTAACAGATGAGTAGCAAAAAAACCTTAATTGCAAACTCATGAAAATCTGAATAGTGGTATTTAGATTACATTGAAATTTCAGCATCTGAAACATCAAGTGTATTAAATTTTGCATGACAATGAGCAGTGTTACAAGTGAAGACAGAAGTTGGCTTTGGGTGGCCTTTTATTTTACAATTCTGTAACAAAAAGACTAATAGAATGTGATGATTCAGGGGCTTTTTGTGAATATTTAGTGCAATACTGCTCTTGGTATATACTCAAATTATTTATGCTCATTATAATACTGGCACCTACTAGTATAACCCATCTAACTCCTCAGTGCAAGTTTTGTATCATAAAATACCTGTTTATGAACTGTTGTTTTGTTGGTAATAGCAGATAATAAATCAGGTTTACAACAGTAAAAATATACTTTATGTCTGTAATTTTTTAGGGAAAGCTCAGCCTTGTCTTTAACTTCAATCCTACAAAGCTTTAAAGTAGACTTCAAGTTTGAAGACCTGAGCTGTACAGATGCACTCAACTGAGATTTGCTTGGAATAAGAAAAAGCAATGGAGAAAAGAGTGAGAATTCAACTCAGATAGTCACCAAGTTCCTAGCATTCAAGGATTAATAGAAAGTCTTGAAATAGATCCCTCAACTGTCAGCCCACGGGCCACCTGTAGCTTGTAAACCAAAAAGAACACCAGATTAACCTCAGAGAGACTCCAGCTTCCAAGCATAACAGTACCTTGGACAGGAGCCAGGAGCACCTTCCCTTCCACTTCTCATGTAACAGGAGAAATGTGAGATACCTTCCAAGGCCCTGTTTCTGGCCTGTCCTCTCCAATAATTTAGTTACTACCTTCAAATATTTTTTAGGAGTCTCTTCTTTTGAGCTTCTTAAAATTTAATGAAATCTTTAGTTTGTATCAGACTTTATTTAAGCCTCAGAGTTTGTATACTGCTACTGTAGTCTATACAACTGTCCAGGGTTGATTATGATGTTAAATTGTATCCCCATTCGTCCACCTAACCCAGACACAGGTTTTGTATTCTTAAAATTCCATCTCAGAGTAAAAGTGAGTGGAAAAGAAGCACCGAGTCTGTTATCAGAGACTGTACTGGCTCCCCCCGCATCGGGAGTTTTGACTACAGCACAGACAGACAACAAGACACAGATCGCCTTGGCTTTCCAACTAGCCGGAGCAGAGAGGTCTTCCTGGACTGTTTTCTTTCCCTTTTCTGAAACAAATTGAACCTGCTCTGGACTGGGGACTCGGGGGAGCACCGGGAGCTTGCACCCGTGGACTACCGGGAGCCCAGCCTGGGCAGCGGCATTTTCCAGCGCCAGAGGGACTGATAACAGAGCGAACACCCACAGGAAAGAGACCCTCTGAAGTTTGTCATCTCTTCTGAAGGGCGAGAGGTTCTGTAATGTGATATCGTTCATTTTTGTGCTGGGTAGTGCTGTGCCTGTGAAATAAACAGGTTTTTTCCACTTCTCTCAGAGAAATCTCTTCCCGAACCGGTTGGGCGGTGGGAGAAAAGGGCCACGTGGGTTTGCTTCCCGGGGGGAGCCCCACTGGAGGTTTTCTCCCAAATTTTGCCCTAAACCAGGACAACAACTAACGTAGTCGTGTCCCTGCTGCTCCTTGGTCAAGTGGTTTACATCCATGTGGATTGCTGAGCTGTCCTCTCCTCCAAAGCCTTCTGCCCTTCTGGACCAGATCAGCTTTACAGCATTCTTGGACACTGGGCTGGTGCAAAGAAGCTAGAGAGGTCCACATTTAGCTCAGTGTAATACAGAGTATAATAATAATAATAATAATAATAATAATAATAATGATAATAATGATTTTGCAGCTGAGAGTAATACATAACATTACAAACTGATTTGCAAAATTTCCTCTCTGAGTAACGTCAATGAGGAGAAAAGCAGAAACAGTCTTTTGCACTTAGGAAATGGGCTGGTTGATGACAGACTGGTAATAATTACTTTTGAGCAACACAAAGGCATGCAAGGTTTTGCCTTCAGAATGCTAATCTGGAGACAAAGACTACTTCAAGATCTGTGTTTAAGTTCAGCGCAAAATACATGAAAAACTGGACAAAGTCACTGGAGATTCACTGCAGAAAGCAGTCACTCTCAAAAATGGTTTGGCTGCTGAAAGAAACAACAGCCAACAGTTAGGTCTTGCATACAGACAACCTGACACGGCTCTTCTTGATGCTGGAGATTAGGTTAGCATTTCAAATTCATGTTCTTCTTGCATAAATGACTTGTTAAACAAATGAAGAATCATTATGTGCA